GAGGGAGAGAGGGAGAGAGACCCCCACTCGCGCAAGTGCAGTATCTGCTTCGACCAGTTCCGTGGTTCAGCAAGACGGTAAAAAATGGGGGTGAAAATAAAACGAGGACCCTGACGAGGAGAAGGACAAATGGATAAGAGAGTTTGGGCCATCTTGCAGTGACTGGTTCGATCGATGGGCCAGTATTATGCGATATGAGTGGGCAATCAAAGGGAAGGAAAGGGGGGAAGATATAGCGCCTACAACTTTCTTCACAGAGGAGGCGCTCCTTGGTCTGCAAAGGACAAAGAGAAAGATGCAGCAAGAAATCAACGATCGTGCAAGGGAGACTCAGCACAGGGTAACTGAGCAACAAGAGGACAATGGACATAGCACGAAATAACTATAGGAAGGGGAGAAGGATATTTGGGACAGACAAACTGTGATGTCGGGTTTTGTATTTTGAATCCTTCGTAATAGATTACAATGGGATGACGCCCAAGATGCGGGAGAGACTATAGAGAGAGCGAGAGGGAAAGAGAGCGGGACCCCAGTCTATCTAACTACGCACCAGCCGCCTTCCTCCCCCCCCCCCCCCCCCCCCCGAACGATCCAGTGTACTGTCTGATCCATAGTCCAAGAAAAAAGCACACGCGCGCGAGAGAGGGAGAGAAAAAGAGAAACACGACCATCCCCCGGCAATCAGGTGTAGTATCTGTTCCGGTCAGTTTCATATCTGATCCGTGGTCGATCAAGACCTTCAAAAAAGAAGGGGAAAAAAGTGGAAAATCCGTTCGCGCACTGATCAGTTTAATGGAGAAGAAAAAAAACAAGGGAAGCATGAGCGATTTTGAATCAAAAGAAACCGGAAACATAAGCGATTTCGGGAAAATAAATAAATAAAGCGAAGTGGGCACTTGCACGCACGCAGCCGCAAGAGGTAAGACGCACACAGATATATATATATGAGTTGGTGAAACTCCAACGAAACAGTTTGTCACAGCCCCTCGTTTGTTGTCCTCTTCTCCCTCTCTGCCTACGGTTTACCGGGCAGTTCTATTTGACGATATATATATATATATTTTGACGATATATATATATCTATCAGCACAGCCCCTCGTTTGTTGTCCTCCTCTCTCTCTGCCTACGGTTTACCGGGCAGTTCTGTTTGTGACGATATATATATATATAGCCTCCTGATGAGTCGGTGAAACTCCGACGAAACAG